CATGGAGTCGAAGACGTCGATAACGATGTTAATGTGCAGTTTGGAATAGGCCGCTTTGGAATGGGCCCTAAAATTGTTGTCGAAAACAATGCAATCGATAGTGACGCAAAATGGTATCGGTGGGTTGCTGTCTCCATTATTACACGGGAAAGCTTTATTTTGGTTTGATAAAATATTTACCGTAGTTTAAAAAATGTTTCCAAAATCCAGCACAGGTTTACGAGTGAGACCAAATCGAGGTGAAACCTTACCTTTTCCACAATTCGAAAAACCTAGACCGATTGGATATTTTAGTGTAGTAGGAGGAACTTTACGAGAATATGAACCTTCAGCACAGCAATTACGCTATTACAAGCCGCCAGCAGCTAAAAAATTCCCTCTTGACCTCAATGAAGGCCTGCATCTAGCAATTAAAAAGCCCGAATCAGTTTATGACGAGGGGCTCGATCATATTTTCAAATTTATTTTCGACCATCGCGACCGTCTCACTAAGCCATTGACGGCTTCTGAAACTTCTCAACGAAGTCTTAATGCCGAGTTTGTGTGCTGGCGCGGGCTTTTACGTTTATTAATGAGTACACCCTATGAATTCAGAAGTGATTGGTCTATTGTGGTTACACGTTTCAATGGGACCTTCTATCTGCGCAAGCGTGACACAGAGCAGGAAAAATTTCAACGTGCCCAAGAAACTGAGCAACAGCGAGCATTTGCTTCCTGGGGCTTTAAATTTGAACAATACTGTCTATCGGGTATGTAATCAAATGGACTACAGCAATTTTTTAACTAGCAATCACCTTTAGAATCACCATTTCTCGAACCGGACGACAAAGGGCCTGTTGATGAGTGCAGCGAATTTTCTTGTGTATTTAAAACAAAACTTGCCGGCTTTGAACTGCTCTATGGTGCTGAAATGGATGGAATTATTAGTGAACAACCCGTTCTTCTGTAAGTGCCTCAAAGTATTTTTTACACCAATTTTCAATGTAATGTAGTAACAATCTTCAGAGATGGGGATACAACTACTTGTTTGGAAAATTTGAAATTCATCGAAGTAAAAGTACGACAGGGAAACTTGAACCGAAATCAAATTCAGTCTTATAATCGTCATAAAACCCGCAATTGGTGGTGCCAATCATTTTTAGTTGGTATTCAAGACATCTACGTTGGACTGCGGAATGAATATGGTCTGGTAGACCGCATCGAACACACTGAAGTGCGCTCTCTGCCCAAGCAAGGAATGGTATGACGTTAGATTCCATTAGTTTGTAAAAAGTTTTAAATTATATTTTCATTAATAGAATCATTGGACACCAAATATGTGCGTTACGTTTCTAATAGAATTTTTTAATCGCGTACGTTCATTAATGACCGATGTGAACTGTCCATATACCGTTTTTGAATTTTACTTTAACTCCAATCGGGGCACCATAACATTTGAAAACATAAAAGGCAAAAGCGAGCATTCCTTTCTGCCAGACTACTTCATAGAACTTATGCATCCTAAGCCGCCGGTAATCAATGAAGAACGAATAAATTTACAGAGAGCGGACACGGTTACCGTAAACATTTGAAATATGTATGTACGTCATATGTAGTGTTAGGTAATTAAGTCCTAAGTTTAAATAAAACACTGATTTTAAGTTATTTCTATGTTTTATTGAAATAAAAAAAGAAATGTTTTGATCGCCTTTTATAACGCTTAAGTGAATGAAATAAAACCTTTTAAGCGCCTGCTATTAACGACCTTAATAAAAGTAGAATCTTTAAATGTGTATAATGGAAAGTTTGCACATGGATACTCCTAAACTTTTTTATATACCGACTTCCAACAGCTTACTATTTACCTCACTTCCACGCCGTAATTCAAACTAATTTCAGCTTTAACTTCTACAGTTCGGTCTTCTTAGGTTTGCCACTGCGGTCAAATCCTTTGAGTTCATTTGTAGCATGTTTAGCAATATACTTGATGAAGTCATCTACGTCACGGCCCTCGTTGTAAGCAACGGGTTTATCCTTTGCATCTTTAGGCAACCAGAAAAGTGTTGGGAATCCTCGAACGTTGAACTCAGGTGGTACATCGTTGGCAGTGGCATCCATTTTGACAAGCTCTACGTCTTCATTAAGCAATTTTTCAGCCACTTCGTCATATACTGGTGCCAATTTTTTACAGTGTCCACACCAAGGTGCGTAGAATTCCACCAATGTGTCTTTGTTATTATTTATGACGACTTCATCAAAGTTTTTGGCAACCGTAACTTTTACGGGAGAATTATTGCTCTCTGGAATGGGTTCAGACTTCACGTACGGCTCAAGTTCACCATCAAGCAACTTTTCGACAAAGTCTCTGAGATTTTCAACGGAGAATTCTTCCTTCAGTGCATATTTGAGATTCTTTTCATCTCGTGCTAGAATTACTGGTTTTTCGCCAACAAAATCATAACCATATTCATTCAATTCATTTTGGAAATCGTCCTTAGCACTAACAGCGAATGTAGCTTTATTGGAGAACTCTTTTGCCACTTTGAGGACACGATTGCGCCAATAATTCGTACCCTTGGCATTCTTAACGTAGTCAACAGAATAGTAAGCAACAATAAGTGGATTTTTGAAATCACGTACAGAGTCCTGTGTACGATGACCGACCAAACCATGGCTATAAAAAATAATTTACATCTTACGAAACGTTCTTTCAAACAAAAAATATTATCAAAAACTTACAAATTCTCTTTAATGAACACACTCAAGTCAGATTCGGATGATCCCTCGAACTTAACATTCGATTCCTCAAATTTGTTCGCTAGATGTGGGGCACGGATGAGAACAATTTTTTCACTGTGTAGCATAAATGAAAAAAAAATGTAATTTTTAAATTATATTAAATATAATAAAAATAGTTTATTATTTAGAATATATGTACATAAAATATACTAGATTATAATTACAGAAGATTGTAAAAAAGTCTTGAATCAGTCTTCGGTTTTTTTTTGTTTTCATCTCTTTCTCACTTACGTTTCTCCATATTTGGCAAGCACGTCAGCATCGCTGCTATGACCAAAACGATATTTCTCGCGATTTGTATCAGCAAATTTCAGGAACAATTTAGCTAGAGCTACATCTGGATCTTCAAAGAATCCAAATACAGTTGTGTCCTTCGTATCAAGGAATTTGGTAAATTCATCGACTGATTTTATATTTCTAGAGGCAGGTCCGACTTGAGCTCTCATATACTTCACAATACCATTTGCCTCGCGAGGTCCACTGTAATCTTGCGAAACGGTATCGCCACGGAATATCTTCAGTGTGGGATAACCACTGACAGAGTACTTACTGCATGTCTCTTTTCCGGCTTCTGTGCAGTCAACCTGTTCAAATTGTAATAGCAGATATGTACATTTTCAAAGCAAAAAGTATTATATGGTCTCACTTTTGCCAAAGCAATAGGGGGATCATCATCTTTCACAACTTCAGCTGCTTTGGCATACTCTGGTTTCAGTCTTTTACAATGCCCACACCTAAAATAAAAAAAAAAAAACATGCAATGAAGTGTTGTTTTCTGTACAAGTACTAAGTGAAATCGGAAAAAATGCTTGTAAAGAGAAACGATCTTATCGAATTTTTGTGTACTTTATGTACCATAAATTAACTAGTGCCAAAAAAAAATGATGCTAGCTAGAACAAGTTCTTATCTCTATTTGTTAACCTTATCGCAATTTGACTGCGCTTTGTTTAATGAATTCTGAAAAGTTAATGTGCGTATGTTTAACCTCTTCCTGTAAGTGTTTTAAGAGTATGGAACAGAACAATGCGATAATTAGAGTTAGAGAGAATTGCACTCTACCATTTTAGAATGGCAAAGCAAGTCCTCTTTATTTCTGAACCCAAAAGATGGAACTGTCCAAATTGCGCAAGCTGGACATTGAAATCTACAACACTTAAGGAACAAAATATACTGATGCTTTGTATTTTGGAATTCATGGTGTTCCAATAATACAACAATCGTTAGAGTATTAATGAAGTGTTCTATTGGCTATTTTGCAACTCAATAGATTCAGTAATTTTGAGAATAATTTCACGAATCCGTTCAAACATTTTTTAGAATATAACCAAATAAACAGATATTGACCGGATATCCGGAAAACAAAAAGGAACGAATATTAGCCCTGTTCCCGTACAACAGGAAATGCAGGTGGTTGGCTTTAGAGAAAATCGGCTTTAGGTGTTTTAGCTATCTATCAACAATTCCCTCAGAAAACTTAACGCGTATTTTAAGGAACGATGTATTGATATATATGTACTGACGCCACCTTAAGTTTGTTTTACAAGATTTCCTAGAGGAAACAATGATTACCCGGTTTAATCTCTTTTAATTCACCAACACGGCTTATTGTGACACTCTTTATTCATCCTTTATGAAAGGAATGTCATGGAATGAAGAAAATACCGAAAACGTGGAGACTTTCCACAAACAAAATTAAAAATGGCTCCCGAAAAAGGTGACGTGTTATAAAAAACTTTGCCAGTAGCAATGACCTTTTAAAACCATAAATATATTTACTCACAAAACAAAATCCCAACTTACCATGGCGCATAAAACATAACCAATGTGGTTTCATGTTCTTTTAACACAGAATTGAAGTTGTCATCCGTCAATTCCAGCACATCTTGTTCTGCGCCAGCAACCAATGCCACATAGAGGCAGAGAACCGCTAAACACCTATGCATTATATCTTCACTTTACTGGATCCTCGTTGTTTTGTTATAATTACAATTTCAATTGTTGATCACGGTTTGTTAATCTCCTGGTTAAAATAATACTATAGGTAAAAGGATTAACTCCACGCGCATCTACCGGCTTTGGATGATGAACGCAAAATAATTGATTTCTAGTGTAGAGTTGTACGTATGTATGTATCGTCTACAGTGCTACCACTTTCGTGCATTTTTTGCACAGGAACGAAAAGTATTTTACTAAAAATCGGTCTATACTGATGTGCTTTAATACATAAATGTGCTTTAATACAACGCTGAAAAATTATATATTTTTGATAATACTAAATATTGCCTTTGAAAAAAGTATTTAATACAATTAAATATTTTGTCATTAATTTACTAAGATCTGGCAGGGACATTCTCATTGACTTTGTGTTGGCTACCTCTGATTGGCTATTATTTTTTTGGAGAAAATTACTTGTAAACTGATGAATTCACAAATTTTGCAACAATAACTTTTTTTATGAGGAATGTTCCTTTGTTGACTAAAATATTTTATGTTGATATACACTTATTCAAAGAGTATACGAATACTTCGGTAGCATGGGAAAAATGGAAATATACACACATGTAGTGCAATAAATACTCTTATCTCTACACCTGTGTGAATTTATTTGTTTTGAGCATTTTTACCAAGGCGTATCAATTATTGAATCATAATTTTTACTGAGAAACGCTTTCTGAACGCACCGAGGTAGCGGTATCAGGGTTATTTTGATTTTCATTCGAAGTAGCCCATGAATTGTGATTTTTGTTTAAATATTGTTCTAAAATATCAAATTTTGTTTATTTTTTTTTGACATTTTACAGTACGAAGCCAACAACAAAATACACAAAGTTTGTTGTTTTTCCTCTAATGCTGCTCCCTTTTTAATGTGCCTTGGAACACACCAGCTCTGAGTTACAGGAAAATGATCCCGTACTCGCAAATTCCTCCAAAACCCTGTAAATGAGAGCGATTTTTGGAGAGTTGTGTAGAGAATGAAGTCGCAAGGGCAGGAAAAATGCTTTTTTTGTTCCCGTGCTTTGTGTTGTTACTCACTTTTGACTCTCACTTCAGAGAGTAATTTTGCTGTTAGACATTTTTACAGGATTCTACACGAAAAGTATTGATTAAAAAGTTCTACTAAGCGTAGAAGTTATTGACCAAAACGCTTTGAAATACTAAAATGGCATTTATACGCAGGAATTCATTAAATTCAATGCATATTTTGCCTTTTTTTTTAACTTTATTTTAATAACAATGCTTGCAGGAAGTTACAGGAAAAATGTTCCGTACCCCAAATTCCTGGAAATGAGAGCGATTTTTGGAGAGTTGTGTATAGACTGAAGTTGCAAGATTTTGGCTCTGATCCAGTACTCGATGAACTTACAGGTTTTTACACGTAATTGCAGGAAGTTGCAGGAAAAATGTTGCCGTACTCCAAAATCCTGTAAATGAGAGAGATATTTGGAGAGTTGCGTAGAGAATGTAGTTGCAAGATTTTACCTGAACTTTTTCTTCTGGTCATGAAAAGTGTCAAGCGATCACTGCTTGACGTGTTTACAAGAAAAATGCTTAGCTGTGATCCAATACTTTTCGTGAAAAATCCTGTAAAACTGTCAAACAGCAAAATTACTCTCTGAAGTGAGAGTAAAAAGTGAGTAACAACAAAAAGTACGGGAACAAAAAATTCATTTTTCCTGTAAAAACGTCAACCAGTGATTTCTTGACACTTTTCAGGATTTTACCAGAAGAAAAAGTTTGGGTAAAAGCTTGCAACTTCATTCTCTACACAACTCTCCAAAAGTCGCTACCATTTACAGGATTTTGGAGAATTTTGGAGTACGGGAACATTTTTCCTGCGACTTCCTGCAAGTTCGTGTAAAATCCTGTAAGTTCATGTAGTACTGGATCAGAGCTATTGGATCAGAGCCATGGTACAATAAATACAGGTATTGTCTTCCCAGAGAGCGCATATTCCGATCTGCCTTATTTAAAAAATATCATTGTTGCCAACATAAAACGTTTACTGCTAGGGAAAAGGGATATTTTTTAAACAAACCATCTTGCAGAGAACTTATTTAATTTGCAAAAGCCGGAAAAAACATTTGCTTTTAAATAAATTCAAAAATTTGTATGGCTCACTCCATTTCAAACGAATTTCGATGTGAAGCAAAACTCTCTGGGAAGACAATACCTGTAATTATTGTACCATGGAGCAGAGCTACCTTTTAAAACAAAAATCTCTCCAATGCTTAGTTTTTTTTTCAGTGATCTGGCAGCAATCCACACGCATGTCACGACTTCGTGCGTGAGTAGGCACGAACAGTTCCCATACGAATCTTATATAGTTTAATAAAACCTTGTGCGGACTTAAGCGTTGTGAATTTTATTGTAATAACTGGACTGTAAACTTGGATTAGCCATGAGCAATAAGCGGAAATTGGAAATAGAACTCGATCTCAAGAGCAACGATAAAAGATACTCGTTTTTTACTCCTACTTCTGTGCGCAGTTCTGTATGGAAGCACTTTCAAGTAATAAAATTTTTGGATACTGTGGAAAGCTTTGCACGTTGTAACCATTGCGAAGAGATTTTGTCGTATGCGCCGAGGAGCGGTACTGGCAGCCTGTTGCGCCATCGTTGCATGCGTGCAAGAGCAATTAGTTCGCCAAAACATCTACCGGCACCACAAAGTGTTTCAAGCTTTATCCGTAGCATGTTGCCTAGTAAGACAAAGGAAGATATATTGAAATCACAGTTGGAATTTATCTCAAAAGATTTAATATCTCTTAATACTACGGAAGGTATGTAAAATTCCAGCCATTATGCTTGAAATACAATACCGGCGACCGGCAAATTTCGCCGAACTGGGCGATGCTGTCGTTCACCGTTCGCCCAACTATTTCGCCTACTTAAACAGAATTAGAGCGGTAGCGAAAACAGCTGATCCCATTTGGTCGCCTTTATAATTTGGGTGACCATATTTAGAAAAAACTAAACCATATTTAGAAATGAGGAAATGATAACAAATATAAATTGTAAAACAAAGAAAGATTATTATAAATAATTTGTTTCAAGCCAGATTTAACGAATCCACAACTATATTTTTCAAACAACAAAAAAAAATCGTGTTTAGGTTGTTTTCTTTTAAAACTTTGAAAGCAAAAAACAAATACGGTCACCTTTGGCACGCACAGCTGTCATCGCCCAGCAGGGCGATAGAAATAAATCTATCGCCATGAAACGCCGCCAAGCGAACTTCGCATTTCGCTTTGGCTGTGTTCTATTTCATATGCTTGCGGGTGTTCTAATTTTGACAGCGCGAATTTCGCTGTGGTGAGTTCGCCGTTCGCCGGCATTGTATTTCAGCTATTAAAAATCAATTTCATGTCACGCATTCATTGCATTTCCTAAAAGTGAAGTACATAACGTCCATTGCGCCACCGTCACCATCACCAGCACAAAGTTGAACTGGTGTATTTGTATGAAGTAAGTTACATGAACAAAGCTGACGGTGACGGTGTCGCACAAAATAGCTCAACTTTCAACTTTGCTTATGCTTATGCGTCAAGTGACCTATTCTGTGTTTTGTTTGCATATTTTAACTAAAATTTGTTCAGTTTGTGAAAATTTTCGGATTTATTTAAATAAGAAATGTAAAATAGGATAAAAGAAAAGTAAAAACGCAATTTTTGCAAAGAGCAGCAGTGAGTTTCCGATTTTACGGGCGCAATGGTGTTCGGATAGTGTGTAACTTGCCGCATAAGCACCGTTGCCGCTGGAAATGAAGGTGACGGTGTCGGTGACGCAATGGACGGTGCAAGGCGAATTTATACACGGTGGTGTTGTAAAATCAGCTGACTTATTCGTCTTGCATGTATTTTGTTTTTGCCAAGGCGAATTTATACAAGGTGGTGTTGACAGAATCTGGAATTCGCCTTTCGAAAATAAAAAACCTCTTTCGAAAGACACTTTACATGCAAGTTGTGACTGCTCATGCAACTGCTTTCTGAAATTTCTCAATTTGACAGCCTTTTCGAAATATATTGCATACGAAAAATATTGCCACGTCTGACACGCTCTATATTCGCAATAATTCAGAAAGCTGTAACTTATACCACATTCACACTCGAGGTAAATGCAGTTTTATAAATTTATAAAGTTACTTTAACTGTAATATTTATTTATACAAAAATGCTAATAGATTTGCAGGGCCACCATATATATGTATACTGTTACAAAATAATCGTAAATGAATTTTATAGTTAAATCTTTTTTCTATACATAGGTGATGGTTTTCGGAAATTCGCCCAAGCTTTAATAAATATCGGTGCAGAATATGGGAAGCAAAACGTTGAGGAAATTTTGGTTACTCGCCCGATCTTGATTAACAGTCTCATTCCGACCGAATATTTCAATATTAAGAATCAATTAGAATACATTCTATCAAATAATCAAGTTAACTTTTCAACAGCTACATTGATCGATGAATGTTCGAAACGTAGTTTCTTGACTTTAACCGCTCATTACATTAATGATGATTTTATTTTGAAATCAAGCTTACTGGGAACACGAGAGTTTACATCGTCTGCGGTAGAAACTTCCGCTAGAATCAACTATTTCGTTATGGACATACTGAATGAGTTTCAAATCAAAGATAAGTTAAACCAAGGTATGATCGTAACTGAAAACTCAACGACATTTATTGAGGCTTTTCGCACCTACAAACGAATTTCATGCGTCTGTCATAACATAACGCTGTTCATGAAAGATGCTTTGGACAACAGTACCATTAAAGAAGTTAAGGAACTTATAGAAGCCTCAAGATGTTTGGTCAGCCTATACGAAAACTCAGAGTTAAATAACATATTGTCTATTCCTGAGAAACCAAAGGAGACCGAAAAATTCAGTTCCGTATATCGTACACTGTCAAGTATTTTTACCATGTATAATGAAATTGAACAAGCATTAATGGAGCGAAACGAGTGGCAAGAGATCGCCGACATTAATTTTCATCTCTTGGATCGTGTTATTTCATTTTTCAGGCCCTTTAAAGAATGTTTCGATATCCTGAGCTCACAAACTTCACCGGTTATAGCAGAATATTGTTTGTGGTATGATAAGCTGCAAAAATTCTGTTTTGATTGCCCACGGGATTCTGATGTAATATCAGAACTAAAAGCCATCGCTAGAGCCATCTTAAAACAAAGAATGGAACCCGATATTGTGCATTATATAGCATTCTTCCTTAATCCACAATACAAAAATAAACATATTTTAACTGAAGAGCAACTAACAAAGTCTCGAAAAGCAGTCAAATTACTTCTGGAAGACCTAAAACAACAAGAGAGAGATGTGGGCTTGCTGATGCAGTCAGATGCCGGATGTATCGATACTAATGGTTTGCCTTCAGTTTCCAATAATGTAAACTTGCAAAGCCACGACTATATGAATTTGAATGATAACGAGATTGATAATGAGCTACAGAAATATTTCGAAATAGAAGCAGAATGTGCCGACTTATTGGATTTTTGGAAAAATGCACTGGATTTACCATTGCTAAGACATGTTTCCCGTCAGATTTTAAATATACCATCCAGTTGCACGAAATATGGATGTGCAGCATTAAGTTTAGGTGAAATTTTGGAGGGAGGAAAAGCAAAGATTTCAAGTGAAAGCATTGATCAACTATTATTTATACACAAAAACATTGGTTATATCGGATCTAAAACTCAAAGCAATGCAATGGAAACGTACGAAGCGATTAAACCATATATATAATACTTCTATATTGGCAGTATCTACAAGTGCCGTCAGAAACATTATAGTAAAGATCTTTAAAAATAAAACGGAAAATCGAGTAATCGTATGTGAAAAATGACGCTTAATTCAAGCAAATCGCAGTGGCGGTGCGTTAAAAGAAAATTACTGAGTTTTCATTTAATTTTATGAATTTTATAATAGAAATGTCGCACAGATGCTTTTATATGAAAAAAGAAGATATAACTAAAATAAGAATGCTTAAACATGCGTAGTCTGGTACGCAGATAATTTCTAGAAATTGTAACTAAAAAGTTTTCGATTCTAATAAAACTTTGTAGAGAATATTTTTTTTAATTTTTGCCGAAAGTCTTGAATTCGGATTTATGTATATTGTGTATCATGATACAATAATTTTTAGAAGGTAGTTTCACTTAAAAATTTTTGACATAAACCGTGTCTGTGACAAACACGAAATGTTGCCACTGCTACGATATAGAACTTGGGGATTATCGCTTGTTATTTTAAATATTTTTTAACAGAACATGTAAAGATTTATATGTTTCATAACTGATCACTTAATTTTTAATATAAATATACGTATTTTATACATACATTTTTGCCACTGCTAATCACATGAATAAAAATCATAAAAATGAAAATATGACAGCAATATTTCTTGTTTATAATGGATTAGATCCATCGCACACCACGGACTTTATCGGCCGCCAATTTAGATGTGCTCGCTAGTCTTTCCATTGCATCACAACTTATTGGTCAGAGCGATTAAGCTGGTGTAATGTGCGCACCTCCATACATCTTCACGTACATATTTCAAGCGAGCCATATCATTTAAATAGGCGGCCGATAAAGTCTGTGGTGTGCGCTGGCTCTTATAGCTGTGTCCTTACATCTATTCCGTGTGTTGCAATATCCACGAAAGCAGCAGTTAATTTTTTATGAAGAAAATTATTACAAAATTTTCGAAAATTTCTCTACTTATATGTTTGGCTTTTCTTTGTTTTATTTTTCCAACGTCAAAAGCTGGATTTTTTTTTTGAAAAAGTTGGTACAACAAAAAATACGAAACACGTTTTCTGTCAGATAGCTAACATGGCGGATAAGAAGAAGAAGTGAAACTACCTTCTAAAAATTATTGTATCATGTTGTGTATGTATAAATGAATATAAGTAAAATTAAAAAACGGCAACTTGGAGCAAATCGAGCCCGAACCGCCAAAATAACGTAAGCGACATTTTTTTCGAAATTTTCTTTTTGATGCAGAAATGTATCTAGAAGCTCTAGGAATATTTCTGCATCAAAAAGAAAATTTTGAAAAAAATGTCGCTTACGTTATTTTGGCGGTTAGGGCTCGAAATAACTCATTTAAAATTTCGAACTAGTTCGTTCGATCAACTCAATGACCTAGTGCATTGAACTAACTAGCTCGTGAACTTCCCAACGAGTGTTGCCAGTTTGATCATTTGGTCGTCATTTTGAAGATTTTTTTCTGCTAGTGGTATACCGCACTGAAACTGCAGCGGCGCGGCACTTCGCTGCAAAAGTTTTAATTTATTTGTGTCAAAGACTTCAAACAAGATGAATGCCAGTGACGCTGATGTAATGTTAAGAACATTGACTCACAATTCTAAATCCAATTTCTTCAAGTTTACGGCTCTATTCTGTATCACTGACAAATTCTTGTCACAGTCTTTATTACGGAAAAATCTATGAAAAAGTTTAAATTTGTCAGTAACAAATTTTTGTCACCGATACAGAATTGGGCTATAAAAATAGACTACGAAATGTTATGTCGTTCCGTTGGGTATACCGCACTATGCGGCACCGGAACTGCGCGACACCACGCGGCGCGACATTTTTGCCTAGTTGGTCAACTTTGCCGTGCAGCGTCGCGTCGCGTAGCTCCGCTGCAGCGTAGTGCGGTATGCTCCATAAGAATCCATGCAAAGAATATTTTGCCGCGCTGTGTAGTGTCGTGTCGCGTCGCCTATTGCGGTCGTACATTAATACATAATTGTATCGAAACTATATCACGTGGCAGCTCTTATATCGATAAGTAGTTTTATTCTTTGTTTCATCACTATTTGGAATTAGGGAATTATGAATAAGGCCCTGTCTCCACAGGAAAACACTGATGTCGTGATAACCATGTCACAAAATATATTTCCAATGAAGACCGCCTATTTCTCATGGGCTGCAATATATGTCAGCGCTTATTGCTTGACATCTATGTAGGCAATTTGATAGTTTGACAGCCATATTTTCATTTGAAAGAAAGGTGGTAGCATGGATGAAATTTTGATATTAAATCAAAATAGAATCTGTTCTCTGTTGGATTATGTATGATTGCGTTTTATGAAATTATTCAGCAAGTTTTTTTAAGATTTAAATGTTTTTAAACACCGAAATTGAGAGAATGTTATCTGCTGGAGTCACGTGGCAAATGCTTATTTCAGCACATCAAAGTGCCCACACACAAAAACTTGCAATCATATTGCTCGTCAAAATGACAGTAGGCCATCGGTGTTTGCCTGTGGGGATCTGCGGTAAGTTCTTTAGCAAAACTTGTAAGTATGAACAGTTTTTAATGCAAATCGTTTAGTTGCAGTAGGAAAAAAATTAAGATGAAACTGTGATTATATTGCAATTAAAAATATTTTTGTTAAAAGTAATGCGGATTTCCAAAATTCTTTAAAAGTTAAGCTTTTAATTTTTACGTATAGCAATCAGAAGCTGGAATAAAATGAAAAAAAAAAATTAAAGAGCTTCCTGGTTCCGTTATTTTTTTTTATATGTTGACGATTTTTACATGTAACTTAGGGTTTACACCAGCCAATACTGTCTTGGCAATATCAATATATGTACACTTTTTCACTAATCCATGCACATTTTTACAATATGTATGATCTGGAAATGAATCGTGGAAGTTAATCAACAATTCTTACTTAAAGAGGCCATCTGAATTGGGCCAAAATATTTCCCCCTTTAAGTACTTCCGCACTTTCAACTCATTCACAATTGAAATTGACACACATTCAGTGTAACCACTTTGCTAGAAATCCCTTCAAAGGTGTGGAGTTTTGCTCTGTTCGCAAAGAATTTAATAAAGGAACTTGGCCTCTGCCAAGGCATATTGTGCCATGGCCTCTGCAAAGATTTCTTGTTGTCACAATGACATGTCACAAACATTTTTTTTAATTTTTTCCCGAGCAACGTAGCCTTGAATATGTATATTTATTTGGCTATCGTCTAATTGTACCTAAATTTAGCTTAATGTACCGAATGTACTTTTGGTTAATAAAGTCAGAAAAAGGTACAATTGTACCTACTCTTCCATCTCTGCCCTATAGTGGTTGACATTTCTATATCCAATTTGAATTGAGTGGCAATTCGTTAACAGCTGTCGTTTGTAGGACGAAATCAAACAGAGCTAGCATTACTTTCAAATATTACCGAGCTGAATATTGTTTTGTTTACAATAATCTTATTTGACTATGCTGCAATTAAAAAATAGAGATTGCCTGGACGTAAAAAACTGCACGGTCATAATACCCAGTATATGTGTAGGAAATGCCGCTCAACTGGCGTGTGACTTGTTGATTGCGTCCAAGAAGATGAAACGAGTGGGAAGCCTCATGCATCCAGCGTTGATTCCAGTCTTTGGCCCTTCAGCTTACCAACATGAGCCGGACGAAAGAGTAGCTGCCTGCGAAATATATGAATGTGCCAACAATAAATTGATTGTAATACAATTTCGAACACCACTTATATCCCGTCATGCACAAAGTTTGCATAATTATTTAGCTGAGTTAGTGCAGCAGGCCCAAAGGGTAGTAATACTTGGTGCTAGTTTTGGATTTGAGAAACGGGAAATTGGAACATCTCCATATGAGTACTGTGTCTCTGATGCATTCCGCAAAAGTCATGAAGCCCAGTTGGCGAATGTAAAGTGGATAGAATTTAAAGGAGAGATGATTTTTGGTGGCGGTAATGGACTGCAGTTGTTCCGCTTATTGCAAGAAAAGCAAGTACCTGTAATGTTACTATTTCGTTATGTATTGGAAGGCGATAATTCGACAGATGCCACGCTAATTGTACGAGAGTTGAATGATTTGTGTTCGACCTTTTTGCAATTAGAAACAGAGGACAACGCTATAAAGTTGACTGTTCCTGTGTCTTGGAAGTTACTTTTTGGAAATGAAGTGACTGCTTTTATTTTCTAGTTTTAAGACTTTTTATGCAATAAAAATGGTTTGGTTTAAATACTCGCATTTTTAATACACATACATATGTACATATGTGCATAATATGCACATATTTTAAATAAATACATCATATCGCTCGTTTACTTCAAAGGTGCATAGAGGAAAGGTAGCGGTAATTTATGCATACTTAAGGTCTGATTATGCATACTTCGCATAACTATTTGTACCAGTGCAATAAAAATGTAACTTAAGAAAATGTGAAGCGAAATCTAAATTCAACAGATCGTAAAGTTTTTAAAAGTTCTGCTAATTTCTGGGTAATGGAATACATACCAAATTGCAGTTTGAAGTTTATGCGAAGTTATTCGAAATATACATAATCAGACCATTAGCTTCCCCAAAAACTAATTATAATTTTTTTCGAATTAAAAAATGCCACTCAGCAAAAAACTCAGTGCGTGTAGTCTCTACGCGCGGAAGAAGTGAAACCAAAGAAGGCAATTTATAGGTTTACGTTCTTTGGTGATAAGGTCTATTGGGTGGTAATGTAACGGAAGTGGATGATAAGTAGATTAGTTAATAAAATTTTGTTCGCATTTGTGTCACCCTTCAAAGTCGTACCAACAGTGAGAATATATTTCGTATTTTCCAGTTGGAAAGCTCGGAGGTTCCAATGCAGAGGCGCAATTTTGGGAACTTTTGCATTTAAAAAGTAGTGTTCGATATCAAAAAATTTTCACAATTATAAACAAAAAATGAAGGAGCTTGGATTATGAACTTATATTTCAATGAGCATTTGGCAGTTGTTTGGCGCTTAACGCGCCAATTTAGGGACGGCAGTTACAGAACAATAATTTGGAACCCGATAACCAGGCAAGTGTGAACACCCACATTGGTATAATAAAATAATTATAATTATAGGTAGAAATGGTTATATCAAATATAAGACTTGTTTCTATGAAATATAACAATGATGTTAGCGAAAAGTACTGTTACGCATAGTCTACAACGAAGAACCAAAAATTAAAAAATAATAAAAATAAAATTAATTTAAAATATTTGCAAGTTACTAGTACCTTTTATGGAATGTAAAACCTGCAATGGCAGCCCTTACACCAACGTGTCACTGGAAAGACGAAGCGGGGCATATCTTTCGTTCACGACGAGTTTCTCGTTCACTTTGTTCAAGTCTGTTGGCGGATCAGCATAGACTTCTGTGATTTCTCGATTCAGTTTATTTAAAAAGTAAGTTGTAATTTTGTAAAACAAAAAAATTTAACAAGTGAGGTGCAATTCGAATAAACAAGTGTGTATCTGGATAAAGTGACAAAAATATTTGTTTGTTTACCACCAGTAAACAAAAAAATAATTGTGCATTTGAAATCGGAATTTTCGACGGAAGTGTGTAATGAGGGTGACTTGGCAGCAAAAGTGTGGAATGCATATGTCGGCAGGAGTGAAGAAAAGTGGTATGCCGATTAGAAATTGAAAACACGTGGCGTGGATAGTCTATTAGTAATTTTTCATTCATTGGCTGCTTTAAAATGGATGCGCTATTTTTGAAATCGGAGAATTGCAAAGGAAATTAGTAATGAGTTGATTTAGCTTTTCCAGAACGGTTTCCGGAGGGGCTGGGCGGAGTTTTCTCTACTCGATGAAAAATTCAAAATGGCGGCGCCAGTTCCGAAGTTGAAATAAATTAACCAAGTGAATTTTGCCATATGTTATAGAAATCGGTAATATTCGTATTTTATTGCACAACATTAAACTAATTTAAAATTGGGGGTAGTTAATAAATTCTGGCTCGGTGTCTATAATTTTCATTTTCGATGTATAAATTTTCCAAGATGGCCGCTAGGTCACCGAGTTTTTACCGACTCGGTTTTTTTTTCGTGCCGCTTACTGGAAATTTTTTGATATCTGGAGTTGCATTTGTGACCCTAGAACGCCGGTATTTGCAATATTTAACTTAAAATTGATATGATTATTCATATCGCCTAAGCCATAATAAATTACACAAATCGTACGATGATGACGCATGCAATTTGAGTAATTTATGTACATTCCACGAACTGCCATTTCGTTCCAGATGCACATTTTTTTTTTTTCGATTACCTGACAAAAGCAATCGTTTTCCAGTCTTTCATGATGACTTCTATCAGTTCTGCTACTGAATAATTTTGACGATAAAAAAAATACCAAAACCACTGATAAAGCCTCGAAAACGATTATCTTCTCATTATCTTTGAACAATTTGCAAAATACTTATATTAATCAAAGAAAATTATCTTTTGCATGTTTTGCATTTTCCACATTACATTCACTTCCCAATGAACAAGTTGTAATTCATTTTATACCAAAGTTGGCATGGGAAAATTTAACCTTAATTTTCAAGTACGTAGCAACATGTGTGCAACCACGTTGTCAGGTTGAGGTTATGTTCTTCAGCAAAGTAGCAAGGCTATTCGGACTGTAGTTTTGTGTTCGTTGCCGATGCCGATGCTTCATATTGCAGATTCATCGGTAAACGAAGATTTTGTTGTTACTGACCTCAGACTGAAAAAGTGAGTGCATATGTATGTCCAGTTCATAATTAAAAAAGTTTACCTTGTTTACTTTTGTTAAAGTAACACATTAAGGGCTTGTTCGAGATGCAATCACAACCGCAGTGATGCGCGCATTATGAAAATAGTATTGCAAATTTTCATCAGTGCTGCAGTATTGCCCCTTTTATGATGTGCCTCGAACAGGCCCTAATTTTGCAAATTGTATTTTGAAAAATGCCTACATGAATACCTCATACTTATATATTTAATATTAATGCTAATATATCTTACTAGTCCCAAATAGTGTTTGCTAACGAAAGATTTGTTTTCCCTTTTTGTTTTCTTCCTTTTCACCTAAATACCTGCTTATCATCCAATGAACCTTCCAATACGTGTAAAACATTCCACCACCCCTCGATGTGTTATTTATGTTGCACAGCTCATAAGAAAGGAAAATGGGTAAGGAGAAGATTCATATCAACATTGTCGTTATCGGACACGTCGATTCCGGCAAGTCTACCACCACCGGTCACTTGATCTACAAGTGCGGTGGTATCGACAAGCGTACCATTGAGAAGTTCGAGAAGGAGGCCCAGGAAATGGGCAAGGGTTCTTTCAAGTACGCCTGGGTTTTGGATAAATTGAAGGCCGAACGTGAGCGTGGTATCACTATTGATATCGCCTTGTGGAAGTTTGAGACTGCCAAATACTACGTCACCATCATCGACGCCCCTGGCCACAGAGATTTCATCAAGAACATGATTACTGGCACATCACAAGCCGATTGCGCTGTGTTGATTGTCGCCGCCGGTACTGGTGAATTCGAAGCCGGTATCTCCAAGAACGGCCAGACTCGTGAGCACGCTCTGCTCGCTTTCACACTTGGTGTGAAACAATTGATCGTTGGTGTCAACAAGATGGATTCATCTGAGCCACCATACAGCGAGGCTCGTTATGAGGAAATCAAGAAGGAAGTGTCGTCGTACATCAAGAAGATTGGTTACAATCCAGCTGCTGTTGCTTTCGTGCCAATCTCTGGCTGGCACGGTGATAACATGTTGGAACCATCAACCAACATGCCCTGGTTCAAGGGATGGAAGGTCGAACGTAAGGAAGGTAACGGTGAAGGCAAGACCCTCATCGAAGCCCTCGATGCCATCCTTCCCCCATCTCGCCCAACCGACAAGGCCCTGCGTTTGCCATTGCAGGATGTGTACAAAATTGGTGGTATCGGAACAGTACCAGTCGGTCGTGTTGAAACTGGTGTGCTGAAACCCGGTATGGTTGTTGTCTTCGCCCCAGCGAACATCACCACTGAAGTTAAGTCTGTTGAAATGCACCACGAAGCTTTGACCGAGGCCGTGCCCGGTGACAACGTTGGTTTCAACGTTAAGAACGTTTCCGTTAAGGAATTGCGTCGTGGTTACGTCGCTGGTGACTCAAAGGCTAGCCCACCCAAGGGCGCTGCTGATTTCACCGCCCAGGTTATTGTGTTGAACCACCCTGGTCAAATCGCTAATGGCTACACTCCAGTGTTGGATTGCCACACCGCTCACATTGCCTGCAAATTCGCTGAAATCAAGGAGAAGGTCGATCGTCGTTCTGGTAAGACCACCGAAGAGAATCCCAAATTCATCAAGTCTGGTGATGCTGCCATCGTCAACTTGGTTCCCTCCAAGCCATTGTGCGTTGAGTCTTTCCAAGAATTCCCCCCATTGGGTCGTTTCGCTGTGCGTGATATGAGACAGACTGTCGCTGTCGGTGTCATCAAGAGTGTGAACTTCAAGGATGCCTCCGGTGGTAAGGTAACCAAGGCCGCCGAAAAGGCCACCAAGGGCAAGAAGTAGCTGCGTTCTAACAACGATAAAGACCAACAACTATTTAATATTAAAATCAATAGCAACAACAACATCTTACTAAATTCCAACAGCAGAAGTAACAGTCGACAAACCAATAACAGCAAGAAACGCGGAACGGTGTTCCAACTGAATCTAACATTAATGGTTAATCAAAAGTTCCATTGCTTCCATCGAAAAGAGTTTCGTAGGAAACGAACGTGTGCCCTCGGCGCTGTCTAATCAAAACACATGGAGGAATTGGCGAACATACACAACGCACATAAAATCGCACACTAGCCATTTCCCATATAAGACGGCAGGAATACGGAACATCTTTTTAAGCAAAACAGCATTTGTATCTTTAATTTTATTATTACTATAATGTTTAATTATTTGTTGGAATTCATTCCATCTCTTCTCTGTAGAGTTTAGAGCACAAGACTACTATTGCTTCTTATATACATACATACGAACACTCAAAAACATAATATAAAAGGAACCACTATTTAAAAAAATTTAATCTAAAATTTTGTATTCTTATTTTATAAAGAAAAAAAAACGAAAAAAAACTCAAATTGGATTGTATTGTATTTAAAACAGCGACGTGAATTGAAATATTTGTTTTTTTTCAGTTGATTTCCTCTCCCTCGGTTTATTTCCACTTGTTTGACCAGCGCATTTTTATTGTTTTTATTTCGCTTTCACCGCCTTAGCTTTCACCCAATTTCTATGATTTATTTCGTGGAATCAAAAGTGCATTTAATTTGGACAGCACAAATTTTATACATACATAGATTTTAACAGCAACTCGAAGTACAAAATCCGTGAAGATACACGTATTTGTGTAAAACACATCAACAATTTACAGCTACACACAGATGAAACAATACCCTAGTATTGTAAACATTACTAAATGATTTTCAATAAAGGTCTATAAAACTCCACTTTGGTGGATGAGCTAACAAAAAGTTAGTTTTATTGCGAAAGATTTGGTAAAAATGATGTAATTTGGAGCTTCAAGTTTTGTTGCAAATGATATATATGCATAAATACTATGCAAATGAGGTGAGAATTTTTACATAATCAGTCCAATCCTGAATACTCCCAGGGAGTTTGTTCGGAAATTTCTTTTTTCCGAGAGGAAATCCTCCAATAATTAACTTGCAGAGTGTAGCGTTTTCCCCGAAAATTTGGGAGGAGGAAATTCGAACTTCGAAATAGCATTTTGACACATAGGAAAGAGAAAGGAGAGAAAACTCCCAGGGAGTTTCTAATCAGAAAAGGCCTGAATATGTACATACATATCGTTACTTTAATATAGAAAGGCCATTAATTATAGTTTAGTTACAAAAGAGACTAGATACTTTGGCTCGATGGATTTCTGAACGCACCCATAAACAAGGTAGGTACGTAATCTAATGATCAATATCGCATTGTGTTGTGGGGGAAAAAAAGTTTTAACATAAAAATTGGAAGTGTTTCGAAAATATTACATATTTATAGGCGCTTCATGTGTCCAAATTGCAATCAAATGTATTTTTTATTTTATAATAAAAAGCATTAATTTTCTCATTTCCATCTCATAAATTGTTTATAGGTAATGACATTGCTAAATTTCAAAATCAAAAGTTATCAAAACAATTTCTAAGGGAGTGAGAAAAATTATTTTCTACTTTTTAGTCCATTTATAAAAACGTGGTATATTAAAAATTGTATATTTTATTTTATTTTTCTACTTTTTAGTCTTGTCTGTATAAAACTTTGCAATTGATATTAAATCAATTCAACGATATTCTGGTTATGTCTTCAAAAGTGACAACTCAAAATTTGGAATTTTTGAAATTATGCACTAAAAATGTTCAGAGCTTTTGTTTAAGGCCAAACCGCACTGTGCTGTGCAGTGGCGTGTCGTATTTGATGACTTTTTCGTTATTTGAAAAAAATGTTATGATGTTGCATTTCCGAAGAGTTTTTTTATGCCGTTATTCGAGTATAAGTCGGTGAAAGTTTCAAGTAGCTACATTGAACATTTAGGGGAAATAGACTTTGAATTAAAATAAGTTTTTCCAAATTGGATCACTGAAGTCAAATCTTTTTATTTGATCGTAGAGCTCAATTTTAAACAAATAAAGAAGTCTTAAATACCGGTGAAACCGAACATTAAATACTACCGACAAGATAGATACAACAGCACCAACAGGTCCTGGCATTTAACCATAGAAAAGTTTGAGATGAAAGTTGAATATAAAAGGAAGTAGTAGTCATAAAATGTACGAGCTTTACTTGTAAGATACCGTGTTTGTTCTTTGTTGTGGGGGTGTGACTAAAGCGAGCGAACAGAAAAACTGTGTTTCCAGCTACGCATACATGGCATTTTTCTTATTCATATAAAAAGAATTAAATCAGTAATTACAATGTAATATGTAAATGAAAGTACTTGCTATAAATATGCAAAAGTGTATGTATATCCACACGTGAATAAATACGTCTACATACATATACACACATACATATCTTCACCTGCTGAAATATAAAAGGCCGTAACTAATAAAAAAATTCAAAATTTTATTGATTTATTATGATGCACCACACATTTGTTTTTTAACTGTTAGTTACGGCCTTTTGCATTTCAGGTGACGATATATGAGTTTACCACCACCATTATAGCAAATGTTTAGTCATTGCACATTGGTTCTGTGAATAAAATAAACACAAGCTTGTGAAATTCAAAAATTAGCTCATTCAGCTTAGCTGAACTTTAATTTATTGCTAAATTGTATGTGCCTATACTTGGTGCATACATTTCTACATATCTACGCCTATGTTAATAACAAAATAGCATAGGTAAGCCATCCCATTAAATTGTAGCAGCATGAAGTGCAAGTTTCATGTGCCTATAAAATACCGTTAATTCTGATAATTTTTGCAAACTTGTTGCGGTTTTCTTCCATAAACGGTTTCGACCACAAGTGAGTTAAACTGGCCGGAAGAAATGGATTCTTCCTTTGAAGTTCGCAGGTCATTAGAGGTCGAAAAAGGCACTTCCGGAAAAAAGTATTTGCACAGAGAACTTTTCACAATAAATACAAAGATTTTTATTAAATTTTTTTCCGCTAATTTTTTATAAAAATATGGTTTACACTACAATAAAAGAATAAAAATATTAGATTTCGTCTACAAAGAAACTTTTAGTTTTCATAAGGGAGGAGCTTGGGCCGCTAGGGTTAGGAACCATCATAGGGATAAAACAGATCTTGTAGTTCGCGGTCCCCCTTTCTGTTACACCCAAAACATTTATATTACATTAAAAGTCACTCATCATGTCCGTGCTGGTATATGGCGCAAAGGCATGGACTATGAAAACATCCGATTAGGCGGCTCTTGGAGTATTCGAGAGAAATAATTTGCGGAAGATTTACGTGCAGCGGATTCAAATACAACAGCTCAGCTGGTTTGGCCATGTCGTTCGAATGGTCACCAACGCTCCAGCTCTGAAAATATTCAACTTGGAACCCGCTGATGGTAGCAAGAAGAGGGAGGCCCCAGTGAAGAGTAGGGCCAATCTTCGCCGTTTTTCAGATTTATGCTTTCTACTGGGCGTGGCAAAAACCCAATACTAAAAATATACATATATTTAAATATTACCTGCGCTGAAAAGGCTTCTCGGAAAAAAACAGATGCGATTCGGAAGCTACGTAAGCCACTTCATTTGTGTGATCAATTCATGCCGCACATTAAAAATTTGAGAAGCTCGAACAAACACTTAGCCCCATGCGTTTCATTTAAAAAATGTGAGAATCCGAAACTTACGGGTAGCGTTTCATCATCCTACTAAAGAGCTCGGAATTCACCGATTCATGAAACTGATATACATATGTGGCAATTGTACGTTCTAGGCTTAAGTTACTGGTCTCCATTACTATGCATGTCATATTATAAGAATCGAGCGTATACAGAAGGTATTCATATGCTTTGCGCTACGTTATCTGCGCTTTTAGGATCTTATATATGAGTCCAGTAAAGATGCCTATTGATGAACCTGAAATCCTTGCATAATAGGATGAGCCTTTCGTTTTCGATGTAGTAAATGATGTTGACTATCCCGTACTCATTGAGGATTTTTCTTAACATTCCTGCCAGCTCTTCATCAAATTTTATCTTGTTGACGTTTTTAAGGCTCCTTCATGGAGCTCAACAGAATCTAGAGGTATGTTGAGATGGATTTTTCCCTAAGAAAAATCGGTTTAGGATCTGATTTTTTATTACAAGTAGTAAGTAGCGTACACTAACAATAGCTAGATCGATAACTCTCTCATAGCTATCTACACATCTACACTACACATCTCATGAACGATCTTTTGAATTCTACAGGTCTTAATGGTAGAGATCTAAAAGTGTTCAAGTTGACTCAAGATTTAACATAAAAACAAAAGATATAGCTTACTATTATATAATTTATTATTATTTTTTTAATGTTATTTACTACAATTGCAATGGAAAGAAAACGTTCATGAGTTCTAAATAATTCTTAAATTTTACTAAGTGGATTCCTCCATAAAAATTTCCATATTTTAACAAATTTTTTGTGAAAATGCCAACAAAATTTTTGTGATGCTTTATCAATGCCTTAATTTCACACTGCGCAACTATGTATCTATAATTAAGTTGAAACCACTGCGTCGTCGTTTGCCTGTGACAATTGCGGTTGCGTCTTCATGATTTGATTTTGATTCGACGCATAGCTATATTTTTGTTGACGCATCACTTGCATCTGCGTAATGCTATCCAATACCCAAAATGGAGTTACGTAGACTTTATCTTCGAGTGATTTGTGTGGATCGCCGAGTATATATTTAGCACGTTTGCGATGATCGACCACTTTGCCGCCACATAATTCAATCAGCTCTTTTAGATTTTCCTTTGAGATGGGACCACAACGCGATGATATGTAAAAGGCACCTAAATCCGTAAAGAGTTCACATTTGTAGGTATTACCAAAAGCTTGACGTTCGGTGCGACAAATCTGTTTTATGTATGTAGATGAATGTAATGAAAATTTATTAAAATTACTTAAAAAAAGAAAGATTTAAAAACATTTCGCTTCTTAATTTTGATTTACCTCGACGGCGCGCGAAAACACTCTCAACTCATATTCTTCCTCATTTAGCCAACAACCGGCTTTAAGTGAGTCTACTACCCATTTGTAATCGAGAATCCAGAGGCCACGTATTAGACCGCGCAGTAGATTCAGCGTTCGACGCGGTTCGTAACTCACCACATGCGTAGTATGGTCGTTAACACAGTGATTCAGTTGCAGGCCACCAAGAGTAGCGATTGCCTAAATATGGTAGTGAATTTATTGAGGATTAAGGATGAGTAAGTATATAAGGATGAAGTAAAAGTATGAATGGTGCGATTTACTTTTTTGCACTAAAATATATGTAAGCATGTATGTATGTACATGTGTATGAGCTCGTGCATATTTTTATATTTATTTATGATAATCAATTAATGGTTATTAAGTGCGACTGATACTGATATTCACATCGAAACAAATTCAAATGTATGTTTGTAATACGAGTACTTATTTACTGCTTGTAGGCACGCAACAACGAAAATATTATGAAATACATGAAAAGAATCGACCATCGGTGGAATATATGTATTTATATTAAATATTCAACTTAAATATTTCGTCTATAGAGTGTATCACAACTCTTAAACTTTCCTCTGAACTTGAGTGTAAAAATAGTATGAAAATAGTTCTTTCTGAACTTCGCTGTACCACACACCAATATAAACTTATTTAAAGCATTGCTCCAGGGTGAAATACAAATAAGTTTGGAAAATTGTACGGAACAAATTTATTTTTAATTTAGGATAGTTGAAATAAAAATTCCATACTACGTAGATATAACTAGTTTTACAGCGGCATCAAAATGCAGTAACGGGTGAAAAAGCACCTATTTGTACTGACTTTAAATCAATGAAATTGTATTATTTTAGAAGAGAATATTTTTACGGTAAGTACAGACCATGATAGCAGAAGTGGCCTAACTCACTTTTTTCATAATTAACTTCTTAAAATCGTTTCAAATGTGATAAATTTTTTAAATAAAGGTCGCTTATTCCTTAGTATGATGGTACTCTAAGTAGCCTTGTACCTTAGAATAAAGGAATAAGTCACTTTTGTTTTAAAATTTATTACATTTTAGATTATTGTAAGTAGGTATGTAAGTGTGCAAAAAAAATGGGTTAGGCCACTTGTGCTCCACGTCCTCCAAATCAGCTAGATACAATTATGCGTTTCTTATTGTTTAATGGAGGTGACACCCGGCTGTAAATAAAAATATAGAATTGTGAAAAATAATAATTATTAATATAATCTTTCCTACATGGACGACGGCAGTTTTTAGGTTGATTCTTTGCCATACTACCGTGCCAAATCGGTAATACTATTTTTCTATTATGTATTTCTACTTATGCGTAGTCCGATTTTTGTTAAACCAACGAAAATTCTATCACTAAATACGATTAGTATCGAACCTAGCAAGTATTTTTAATTACATCTTATGGACGGTCCCACGAACCGGAGCGGCCCAGATCTATACACATCTTGACAAGGATTGTCACTTGAAAAAACTGCGACATTTTATGCTGTTTCAATAAAACAATAATCTTATTTACATTTGTTTTCCGATAAATAAAAAAAATATTTAGCCGAACTTCGTGTTTTATACTTGGACTGGCCTGGAAAGAGTTAAGACTTCTAACATAAGGCGGAAAAATGAACTCTCCAATAATTTATCGTTAACTGAGTGGAAGCTCGACCTATCTCGGCAGCCAGTTCGAAAACGCCCATTCAGAATTTGGTTGAGGAAGGCCCTATTTTAGAATCTTATTAAGGAACACCCTATTTCAGAATTTGGTTAAAGAACGCTTTTTCTCAGAATTCGGTTCAAAAGCGTCCTATCTCAGCTGAAAATACATTGAAAACGTGCTGAGATAGGGCGTTTTTCAATCGGCAGCTGAGTGAGATGGGCGTCCTTCAATCAAATTTTGAGATAGGGCGTTTTCGAACTGGCTTCCGAGATAGGTCGATCTTCTACTCCGGTATCGACATATTATTATATTAGTAACACTGGCATGAAACTAGTTTCGTTCCAAGTTCTGTCGATACCCCAAAAATACAATATTTTTATGGTGTCGTCTTTTTTGGGTTTGCTATTAAATTTAATCAATCAAAATTCTTATTTATTGTTGTGATAAGCAAAAAAACAACCGACTCAATGCTCACATATTTATGTACAATTTTGGGAGTGAATTAATAACCCCCTACTTCTTTTGAAGTTGGTCCAAAACACTGAAAATCAAACGTTGACAGATGAACCGACCCGAGCGGGGCTTGGTAACCGCTACAACAACAACAAATGAAAATCAAAAAAGTAAACAGCGAAAAATGAATTTTAAATAGACTCAAAGTAAATAGCTTAAAAATTTGCAAATGGGCTTGCCATACATGAATTTCTTATCACGAAAATTCAAATGCATATTGGTATTATCTACGTATAAATATCTAGGTGCAAAATTTGCAAAAGGCGGCGTGTATGTTTTATTCAACCTCGTTTATCAATACTAGTCAGCTATCTTATTTATATGTGATCAATTTGGGATTGTATAAGGTAGTCAAACTATTTGTTTTCCGTAAATGTAGCCTTATTTCGCAAATGTAATTTTTAAATTTACTAGAACAGTTGCAGAATAGTTTTTTGGTGGGGTTGATTGTTTTGGGTTTAATATCCCCAGATTCCTGTAGATATTTTCAGCCTCATTGCAAGTGCCTGTCGAATGTAAGTCATGTTCCGAAAATTAAATGGCATTGCCTGAAATTTCCCTTCATTTTGTGCATTAATACGGGAGAAGAATCACTGTTTATGCGACTTCTAACACCTAGCGCCTAAATGCATACTACAACCGCGATAAACACGCGTTAAATATGTTCACAGCTGCATGTGCAAAACTTTCATATACGAAATTTTGCATATGCACTTCTCAAGTGTCACATAACAAAACTTAGTAAGGTACAGCTTCACGCATCCTCCGGACAATTATTCCGGAGTTCATAAACCATTGACCCCAGTATCTACCCACATGTTTTTTTTGTTGAATACACTTTTTTTTTTGTACAATTACACAACCTGGTCTGCTCTAAGGATGTCAAGGATGTGTTTCTTTGATTCGACTTTTCAGATATTATTGCACAACAAAAAATGTAATTAGGAAAATTGTACAAAATTTCAAATTTATTACTATAACTGACTTAATTACACTGGTTTACAGCAAAAAAGTTCAATGTATGCCACTATCCAATTCCTAAAAAGGATTGCTCGCTGATTCCGAAAATCTTCTTAATTTTTTATTCTATTGATAAGTTCTAAGATGTTTTCAATTTACCGTTACTCAGCTTAAAACAAAAAGTGGTCACACTTAATCACGTATATCTTACGAAAAAATTTAACAATCTTAATATGAAATACGGCAAATGAAAGCTAACAAAACAAATTAACTAATCATTCCAGTTTCTTTGTTTTTTTTGATGAAAATATGAAAAAATACTTTCACAGAAGAACAATTTAAAAAATAACAGGTTCTGTGTTAAATTTTTGTATTTGTGCTAAAGCCTGTTCTGTTAAAAAAAAATCAAGTTACTAATGAAGAAAATCTATGGATAAATAAAGAAGTAATGAGGGATCAAATGAAAATGCGCCAAGTTTTTTTTGTATGAAATAGTTGCGTTCCAGATGCTTCACGATTTGCAGGTTTTTACAGGAAGTCGTTCCAGGTGACCACCTCCCAT